GAATAACAAGAATCTCAGTAGTAATTTTGAAAGTAATAAAAGTATAGAAGTTAATTAATACTTCTAAATAATCTTTTGTTTATTATTATCTTTGATTTATTATTTATTTAACTTTGATTTATCCAACTAGTGAAAGTCATCTTTTGTATTTTAATAAATCATTCGCACTTTTAAATTATAAAATACTTATCCAATTAGTGAAAGTATCAGAATTTATTTCTTTTTAATACTCTCTCCCAATCATCTAGTATCTAACACTCTCAAGTACACACAGTCACTATTATCACTCTTATATAATTCTTAATTAATTACTATAATTAGTTAATATTTTACCTATCAATATAAGAATGATAACAATATATATTTTATTGAATTTATTAAATGATTATTTCAATTATTATTGAATTTCTATTTTATTTTTTTATCATATCCTATCAAAATATTCATATTATAGTATATAATCTAATAATAATATAAATTCATGAATTCACATTTTTTATTAAAACATGTTATAATATTGTTTAATAAAAACAAAATTTTTTAGAATATAATCAAACCTCTTTATAGTCACATCCATTTATAATCACACTCCTTTATAATAATCACATTTTGCTTTCTCATTTATATATAAACATAATAAGAAAATCACTTTATAGTCACAACTTTTCTATAATCATCCAATTTTGCTTTTCTGAGAATAGTGATTAGCACCACAAAAAATTATCATTCCTGCAAGCTCATTGCACCACATGTTTTGTTTGCATCAAGATCAGATCTACTTGCTGCTCATCTAAAACTAACTTTTTATATTGCAACATGCCCCATATATCAATTAAGATTTATTTTATATCTACAACAATCCGGAATTTTTACACTATTTTTTAGTAAAACATCCCTATTAACCATCCCAAACACAACTATTCAAAAAACATATTAAAAGTAATTAATTATTACAAAATCTGAATACAGAATTATTCATATCTATCAACAATAAAAATTCACAAATTAATAAACCCCACAATTATTATTATTATCACCCGTTTATTAACCATTATTTTCTTCCTCATGCTTCTTTAGCTTTCTTTTGTCTTTTGCCTTTTCGTTTAGCTTTCGACCCTTCCTCTTCATCGTCAACTTTTCGTTTTAGTTGTTGTTCGCGTAACTTGTTTTCCAGTTCATCATCTTCGAGCAGCAGCGACACAATCTCACGTGGCTTAAAGTCAACTTGTTTGAATTCACCTCCTGAGATGACAACTTTTTGGATCTGTTTTTGAGAAATTGCGCAATTGTTTTCGGTTAGTTAATTTGTAAAAATAACAAGATTAATTAATATCTGACAAAAATCAATACGTACTTCATCTTTTTGTTTGGCACGTTGAAGAATTCTTTCTTCTATCGTGCCTTTTGTTATAAGTCTGTATACGGTTACTTGTTTTGTTTGACCAAGTCGATGTGCACGATCCATAGCCTAAGAAAATAATTGAATTAAATAATAAGAATCATATACCTTTCACAAAACTTTTTATCGAAATAATATTACCTGTTGGTCGACTGTAGGATTCCAATCACTATCATAGAAAATAACAGTATCGGCGGCCGTCAAATTAATACCGAGACCACCCGCACGCGTACTCAATAAGAAAATAAAGATTTCGGGCCTAAATTATACTTAGTTTTAGCCTAAATAAATTGATATTAAATTGTTCATGATGACAAATAAGACTTGCCTTGTTTGCCAATCTGAAACCATATCACGACGATCAGCTATTTTTGACCCACCATCTAGTCGCAGATACTTGTATTGACGATAGGCGAGATACTCTTCCATTAAGTCAATCATTTTCGTCATCTGGAAATATATTAAGACACGATGACCGCCAGCTTTTAGTTCTTCTAACAATTTATCAAGTTTTGCCAGCTTGCCAGAATCCATTATTAGTTTCTGCATAGCTATAAAATATAAATCCAAAACAGCATGTTTAGTGGAAATATTCAGTTTGAATTTATTAAGAATATAAACGTGTTTATTGATTAGTACCTGGAACTCGCATAAGAACAGCAGTTTGTCCTAACAGGCCTTTTCCTTCCGACTCGGCCAAGTACCGTCCAAAATCATTAATTGTGTCAACCTCAGATATTAACGGGTTGGTACCAAGCAAAATATTACGTGACGATTGGTCGAATAAAATCCGTTCTTGATCATTATAGAAACATTTGTCCAGACACACCGGCTCAATAGGTGGCGCGACAACCTAATGTGATAATATTAATTAATATAGCATATATAAAAAAGAATCAATCAATACGCGGAATTTTCAATCGCTACTTACTTTAGGCATATAACAAGGATCCAAAATTGATAGTTCGTAACGAGTAGTGTGTTCATAAATATTTGTCAATTCTAAAAGCAAAGGTGACATCTCGACGTTCATGGGAGATGTAATAGGCGCAGTTTGCATAATTATTAATGACGCATATGTATTTAATGGAGCTTCAGGATAACTATTGTGATAATTAATATTGAAAATTAGTCAAGCGATTCATTAATGTTAATAATGATGATTCACCTTTCGTTATCAGTTGTAATGTAAAATCGTCGTCTTGTTCGATGGACACGCTTCAAGAGATGCAACACCCAACGATTTATTAGAGGGCCAAAGAAAATTGAGGATGCCTCTGATGGGCTTGTGTCAATAAATCTCAAAAATGAAAATGTATCTAGATTCAAAAAATATTTAGAATTAATAGACAGTAGATTATAATAACCAACAACAAAACTATCAACTATTAATAATATTATTATTCACCATTAACGACATCCGTTAACGACTCTTGAATATAATCTGGTCGCCATATGTTCATCAGGTGGTCAAGATATTTAGTGTCAAAACCTGCTTTTGAGCCGTGACAAGGAACATTTAACATTCCTTTGATATTATAATTGTTATGGAAAAATAATTATTTTTATAGTCTGATGCTATGTTTATAAACCTCAAGAAATTCACACGTACCTCCGTCCCGATAAATTATTTTGGGAATAGAATACTCGATCACATTTTTCGACGAATATGGAATATACATGAATTCTGCTTCCCTTGCAATCATGAATGTAGAACTATAATCACAAAAAGCCAACGGCGCTACCACATCAGCCCTCTCAAATAATTCCGGGTGATTACAAACTTTCCGGAATTGCATCACCAAATTCATCAAACTGTCCACACTTTCATTCTCATTCAACGACGTTGCTTTCTCCAACAACTCAGCCACCGAAATCTTTTCACGAAGCCCACGATACAACATTCGTTGTCGTGCATTCAGTTCGCAAGATACTTCCACCTCAATCTTATCCCCGAGTTCATTCTGTACATTTTTCTTTATTCGGCGCAACATGAATGGTTTCAGAATCATGTGTAGCCGGCGTAACTGGTGCTCGTTTAGCGATCCTTTGTTTTCCGCGTGGCTCTCGATATCTTTTGAGAACCATTCGCTGAATTCTTGGTGCGAGTCAAAAAGTGTCGGCATTATAAAGTGCAAAAGAGCCCATAGTTCTTGCATGCTGTTTTGAATTGGTGTACCTGTTAGTAGGAGACGATTACGGCATTGGAATGCGAGAAGTGTTTTCCAACGGGCGCTTGATGAACTTTTGATTGCTTGTGCTTCATCGAGAACCATGTATTGCCATTTTGTCCTATCAAAATAGGATTTATCTTGGACAATCTATTTTTACAAATCAAATTTATTAGATTGAGATATCCAAACTTTTATGTTTTATTGATAGATCAAATACTTACCAATTGATAACTCGTGATTACAACATGAAACGGCGCGTCTTTGGAATATACAAGATTTTTCCTATTCAGAAATTTACGTAGTGTTTGACGATCTTTAGGATTTCCCCAGTACGGAAGTGGCTACATACAAAAAAATTAATTAATTACTAAGAAAATAATATGCTTAAAAAAAATGCTTTGGTATCCACCTTTAACGCCGGAACGAATCTTGTTATTTCTTGCTGCCAATTATGCAACGTCGATGACGGCGCAATAACTAAGAATGGACCCCAGATATTATGTGTCTATTAAATGATCGAATTTATGATTAAATTTTTTTTGTTCGTAAAGCAATTACCGAGAGCAGAGCCGACTAAATCAATTATCAATAAAATAAGTTTTTCTTAATTGGATAGATTACCTCTGCTAGGTGTGCCATTAACGATATCGATTGGACAGTTTTTCCTAGACCCTAAACAAAAGGCACCAAACTTTATATTTAGCCATTCATTAAAATATTCTCCAAATAAATAAATAAAAGTAAGTTACCATTTCATCAGCTAGAATACCATTGATACCCTAATATAGAAATAATTGACGTAAAAGTGTTAGTAAAACTAGAATCTAACTTACATTAGAGAAAAATAACTTTCATAGTGCACGCATAAACAAAACAAGACAGATAGATAATTGATACATACCTGTTCATAAAGATTCGCAAGCCAATTCAAGCCTTTCAATTGATATTCTTTCAGTTGACACATTAACATACCGGGTTGTTTGATTTCTGAGAAGGAGGGCATACTCGACGGATTTTGGAAGTTCATTTGGTCCACTGTGCATTTGCACGCACGAGGAATAGAAAATACATAATAAGTATATACGAAGATTTTTCCAGATATATATTATAGTGTTAATTATAAGTCATTACTTACAGTCCTGTTGAGAAACAGACATTTCCTTGTTCGCGGAAGATAATCGTCTTTCAACGTCAAAGTGGCGTGTATGTTCCCTTACTTGCGCAAGAGCATTTTGTGCACTTGCACGTGCTTTTTCCTTCAATGTTTCATCGTCCTCTATCAAAAATAAAAAATTGATCAATTAAAAGTCTCTTCATGTTAATAATGTTATATACTCAAAAACTAAGCAAATAAAAGCTAGAAGAAACCTTCATCGAAATTGATTTCTGTGAAAGCAGTAATATCTATTGATGTAAGATTAGTTTCGAAAGTCGCATACGTATCAGTCATCATCATAATAGAAGACGACGAGGATTCAGCCTCGACGGCTGCTGAAGTTTCCGACGTTTCTTCCGCTGCTGCGGCTAAAATATAAGTTGGCACAAGTTGATTAACATTCACTGAAAAGAAAAGATAGATTTAGGAAATGAAGGCAGAATCCAAAAAACATACTGCCAATCTTTTTTCCAACAAAATGGCTATACAATTCAGTCTGGGTAATAAGAAAATTAAGCTTTCGCGCTTGTCGCTGCGCTTCACGCCGTTCTTCTTCGATGCGCATTCGCTCCATTGCTTCTTTCTCAGCTTTTTTACGCATTTCGCGTTCTTCTTTTTCGTTTCGTTTCCAAAATATTAGCATCTATATTTTCATTCGAATTAATTATGATTTACTTTATGTATATGCAAGGAGAAAAATCATAATGAATATTATCATATGAGAGCACACCTGTCGCATGGCCTGTCTAGCTTTCGTTTGAACATCTTTGGTGGACTTGCATGATTTTAATGCGGCTTTACGTGCTTCTTTCTGACACAACTGTGCAATTTTTCGGCAGTTGTTTGTTCGAGAAGTATATGATTGACTAACAATTTTGGTCATCTAATAATATTAGATAATAATTAATTATATTAATTAAATGATCGTTAATCTTATATAAAAAAAATTTACCCTTGGTATAGCATTTCGACAAATATCCCGCCAAATTCCTCTTCGTTCCTCCTCTTCATAAGCCTCACGCTGTTTGGCCATTTTCTTATTTACTATATGATGCCTTTCGATCTCACTCTGAATAAAACAAAATTAACAAATAACGATATTAATATCAAGAAATAAAAAAAGGTAATAAATAAATAAAAAAAGACCTCTTCCTCAGCAGATCTACCACCACGCCCTCTCTTTCTCTCAGACATCCTTAATTTTTCGATAAGGCCACCGCGTAAAATCTTTGCCGCGGGTGAGGTACGACGGTTCTCTTTATTGGCTAGTAAACTTAGACGATGGTGCTGCGGGTAGTGGAAGAATCCTTCGCGATTTTGGATACGCGACAAAAATCTTTTATTTAGTATTTCCTTTTTCTCCTTGCATCTCTTCTTGTATAGATCGATGACTCGTTGCTGACGGCGATATATATCAACCATATAATTTACCAAAACCTCGTCATATTTTGAATCATCCATCATATCCAAATCGCTCTCGCTCTCCGAAGCACTAGTTTCTTCGGTGTACTCACTGGACCCGTATTGTTGTTGTTGATGTTGCTTCAATTCCGAAACAGTTACTGTCGAAGAGCCGGATGATGAAATATTACCATCCATATCATCGTCATCATCATCATTTTGATCAGACTCGGAATCTAGTTGTTGGGTCAGTGGCGGATTAAGTAATTGATGTTGTAATTGAGATTTTTGAGTCTTAACGAGTCGACTCGGTTGTGATTTACGTGTGATTTGCTGCTTATCCTGCCATTGAGCCGGCCCAGATCTTTTCTTTGTCTGTTTAATGTTTATGTTTGGTTGTTTTTTCTTTTTATTCACGCCATTTGACTCTTGTTGTGAGACTAACAATAATGAAGGATCAGATGATAATGATACTCTATTACTGGCTGCTGCAATTTTCTTTGATGATATTTGACGATTATCAGCCACTATATCTTGAGAATCATCTTCATCCTGAGTCGCTTGCGAATCTTGTACAGCAGGATCCAGTGGTGATTGTGGAACTGAGGAAGACGACAGACTATAATTAGATTGTAAATCTGTAGTAGCAGTGTCTTTTAATAACAATAATGCATCTTGGGAATCTTTGGACTTGTCTTCATATGTTGAATGAAGTAGGATGTTTTCGTGATCTGATCCCTATATTTAAAACAATTATTTTGAATGATGCATATATAAAATATTTGAGTATAAATCATAAAGATCTATTTAAATTTACCATCAGCCCATTACTCTTTGCTTTTTCTTCTTTATCCTTCTCATCTTCTGCTTCTTGTATCTCTTCATCCACTTCTTCACCCATTTCTATCTTCGTCATCTCCTCTTCATCCTCTTTTGCTTGTTCATGTTTTCGTTGTCTATTCTTTATTGCACTCTTCACCTTTTCCTTTTCTTCTCCTTCGTCACTTGACTCTTCCACCTCCTCAGCAGAAGACTCGATTTTTATCACGTTTTTTTCAACATCAGTAACCGTTTCGACACTTTCACTGTCGTTATCGTTCTCGCCATTATCATTCTCGTTATTGTTTTTGCCATAGTCACGAGAATGTTGTACATTACGATTTGACGTTGTAGAATGATAATGTTGTTGATGACGCGACATTTTATATACATCATTGTCGTCATCGTCTCCTTGCTGTTGATGATGATGAAGAGAGTTTGCAATGCTAGTCGAAGAACCGTTCTGAGATTTTATAAATGCGTAGGCTTTTTCTTCGATTGGTGGTTCGCTTAGCAGTTGCGTTATAGACATTACCGGCGAAGGACGGATAAGTTCCTTAATTCCAAAAAAAATCTAAACTTAGCAAAAAAAAATACAACGAAAGTTTTATGAAATGAAAATAATATATAAGTACTTCTTGATTTGTTATCCCCTTCTTTCCTGTCCGACCGTGTTCTCTTATATTATGATGCTGCTGTGGAAGATTATTATGATGATGATGATGATACTGATGATATACAGTAGATTCCACCGTCATGTTATTGTTATTATTTTGACCTGACGAAGGTGGTGAGTGTAAATTCGTCGTGTGAACATTGTGATTAGACATTCGACGATCTAAAATATGCGAATTTGAGGATATCGGATATGATGATGACGTTGGTGATGATGGTGATTGTTGCGAAATCGGAACTTTATGAAAAAGTTGTTTGAAGAATTAATATTATTCAGAGATTCCGAATAGTTTGTATTTAACATACCTTGATAGAATGAATGCGTCTGACTAGTCGGTGGTAACGAGACTAATCATATATAATCAATTATTTAGTGAAATGTATAGTTAATGTTAAAACAAAAATCCAGGAAATTACCATGATCCATTTTATATGAATTATTTTGACTCTAAAGTAGACAGAAATAATATTATTTTCTGCGAGTATTTTGTGAAATCCAATAACAAAATTATCTGGTGATGAAAAAATACCGTTCTAGAATATTCCCAAGACGAGTACGCAGGTGGAGATGGATGAGATGGTGATTGCTGCTGCTGCTGTGATTGTCTTTGAACAGAATGCGGTAATGGATGATAATCAGGATGTCTATACTGAGAAGTGTTAGGTGGTGGTTGTTGTGTTTGATACGAATACGGTATTCTGTGGGGCAAAAAGGATGTTGGGTGGGCATTAAGAGGTGGGAGTGATAATCCGCGATCGTCCGAATTCAACAGACGATTCAGTTCAAAAGAAGTGGTTTGAACTGACGAGGGAGGTGGCAGCAAATGCGAGGTCCTTGGTTGTGGAGTTGGTGGCACCTGTTGGTGTTGTGAAAGAGGTGGCGGTTGTTGTTGCTGTGGTGGTGCTGGTGGTTGTTGGTGAAGGTGGTGGTGCTCTGAGGAGTAATTGCCGCCGCCACCAGGCTTTGGATTATGTTCTCTCGAAGAATAGTTATATGAACTTGACATTGTATATGTTATACTATGCTATACTATTATATTATTATATTATATATGTTATATTATACTTCTTGTCGTTTAATTATTGTAACTGATGAGTGGAATGAAATCAGAAATCAGTTCTCTCTCTCACAAAAAAAAATAAATAATAACCCTATTAAATACTTTTTCAGGTACTTGATTTGTTTTGTACATAAAGATTTAAATGTGGGGAAGGTAATTGGTAATTACCGGACGAAAAAAAGATTATAGAAACTTTATTTCGTCGTGAATCGTGGTAGTGGTTGCGTTGTTATTATATAGATAGTGTTCTGGTAATATTGTGTTTTGTGTGTTTTGGTCGGTCGGTGTTGGTATGGTTGCTTTTCCTCTTAATATTATATATCATCATCCATTTAGATAGCATACTAGATTTTTTTACTCTTGCATATTATAACTGATAATTGTGTGTGTGCGTGTGTATGATAAAAAATTGTAAGTTTGTTTGCTATACTGATGACGACGGTGATATTTTTTGTGTGTTGTTTGAGCACAACACCTACAACAGCTCTCTATTCAATGCTATTATCACTTTCCTCCCATCATTTTGTCAATAGTGTGTTGTTGTTTGATGTGTATGTTGTTGATGTCGTTAGTTACTTTTTTAGAAGTATTTTGATTTATAGAGATCTGTCAAACATTCATTTTCAGACACAGTTGCATTAGATAATGTTTTGGATTTTTAGGCTTGTGCAAAACCCTTTTTTTCTATCAGCTGATTTTATTAAGGTTATTTACGAGTATTATCAGTGAATCGATTGATTTGATTGATATGATCTGATATGACGCGAACTGATTATTATTATGATTGTGATTATGATTAAATATGAGGATTTTAGCACGATCATAAATAAGAATATTTAATGAGATTAATGATAAAAAATTTGTGGTTCAATTTCAATTTTTCATCTTATACGAATCTCACTCACACCATCCCCATCCTACAAAACACTCGATGCTCAAAAATACCGATAACTGTTAAGTAACTGTTTCCGTTCGATAGCCCACGCTCTTTCTTTCTCCTTCTCACGCTGCGCATTCAGCATCAACACCATGACAAACACAAACAATAGGTACATAATCGTGAGCGTGAACATTGTCATGTACAGGATTGACAGGTAGAACTGCGAGAATCCGTGGAGTAGATTGGCGCAGCTGAATTCTTTGTCCTCTTGTTCATTCGTACCAGTAGTATTAGTATTAGTAGTATTAGCAGTAAAGTATTGCGGTTGTCCAATAGACTGAGTTGATGATGGTGATGGAGTCGAAGATGTTGTTTCTAGTGATGATGATGGGGATGTGGTAGAAGGAGCTGCGGATTTATTATCACCATTTTTGTTTGAAGGTTTTGGAGGTGCTCTTGCCACTATTTTGTATACAACTCCGGCCGATGGTTGTGATGGTGATGACGACGACGTACAGGCATTCGTGTCAGCTGCAAAATCAGTCGTATTAAAGAATCCGCAACAAGAAAACTTTAATTATAAAAGGACAAGATGATTAATTAATTAACGAGTCACCCAAAAAAAAACCAACCCAAAAAAATTAAAAAAAAATACAGTATTCTGCAGACTCGCTCTAGTCCCATTACTCCATTGTCGCCACTCGTTCGCCAACTCGTCTCTCGATCTCACCGATTCACGCCAAATTACACCTCCGATCATGATCGAACATACCGCCACAAAGATCACCACTGCGATGAGCACGATCAATACCGATTTTCGCGCGTATTCGAATTTGTAGGCGTGGATTGCGAGAAGGGTGGTGATTGTTATTAGTGAGGATAGTGTTAACGAGACTATCATAATAAATATATTATACAGAATAAAGGTTAGATAGTAATCGAAGAAATATATAACTAGACTTGATACTCACTTATAATCACAGATCTACTCAACAACACGCGCCTCTCCAGTCCCAACGCATCCAAAAGACACAACGTCCCAAAAAGTAACATAACTATTCCTGATAGTCCATATGTTGTGAAAAGCGCGAGAAAACTGTATCGAAAGTTTAATGAAATCCCCGATTCCATTAATTTTTTCGATGATTGCGCGTACTGATTAAATAAATGATTTAATTGCGTAATTTTGGCTGATTTGATGTGAAGAAGATATTGAAAATGGTGGTTTCGGTCGATAAATAAAAATTATATAAAATAGTTAACGAATTCGAGATTCTTTTATGATCTATCTGATCTATTTACAGGGTAATTGATTTTTGAAACCGGTCAACGGTGGGTCTTTTAAGAATTGGGTCAACCAAAGCAAAAGATATCTGTACAACAGTTTATTTTTTTTTTAAAATTTATTCTTTAAATCGAATGATTATCATGGGTAAAAAGAACAATTCATAATAAAAGAACAATTCATAATATTTTTTGTTGAATTTTGATTTTTATTTGCTTGAAAAAAAGGAAGAAGGAAGAAAAAAGATAATCATTAATGTTTCAGTTTCAACTTCGACTACATAATATCAAAAATCGAACTATTTATTGTGCATTGGTTCTTTGATAAATAGCTGCACGAATTAAAGAGACCCTACATGCAAACAACGACACGACATGTATCGTAAAATTATTTTTGTGTGACAAAGGTCAAAAAGAATGGCAAAATCGAGTTATCGTCATGAATCAAATGAACGAATAAATCGCGTTTCTCTCGAATTTACGGAAGATACCAATCATGCAATTTGATTCCAAAATTGGAAGATGAATGTTTACTTCAAAAATCTCCTGCCAAATGAGTTCAATTTTAGTTACAATCAACATTTATGTTATGTCACTTGCTAAAGATTTTACTGGATAAAAGAAAGATCACCAAAACAATTGCACTAAGAATTATTGGTCTTATACTTGAGAGCAATTATAATAATAACGATAATAAGTTTGATAAAATCGGATCGAGGTTTGCAAAAAATAATAAATGCTTCCCGTTCAAACTTACCTTAACGTTAAGAACAAAATAATTTCTTTCATAGATTTGATATAAATGTCAAAGGTTGTTGATGTTTAAATGTATTATGATTAGAACTAACATAAATAATATAAGAATTTGATGATACAATAATTGAGAAAATCTACGTGCCTGAGCTCGGCTTTCAGATTATCAATTGAAAAAAAAACTCTTTAAATAAGCCTTGAATCAATTACGTATGCACGATGATTAATCCTGTCTGCTTGTCTTCGCTAGGCTGACAAATATTATTATAATTATTATTGTTATTACATATTTAAATATAAACATATCTATTGCATTTGTCTGTTATTATTATTTGCCAAAAAGATCTTTCTGGCAGATCTCAACTAATTGGATGACCAAAATTGTGTAAATTGATGAAAAATTGATTGATCAAGAATGACAACAATGAAAAAAAGCAAGATCTTTCTCTTCTCACTCTCTTACTCTCCTCTTTCCCAATAAAAAATTAAGTAACGAGCGATGCAAACTTCTCAACATGCGCAATAATTGTTATTTTGAGGAGGATTCGTCAGATCTACGCCTTTGTTATTCAAAAGGGAGCCTCGTAGACGCGAGTTTGGAGCTAATTGATCCAATGGCATTTTTCTTGCTACATGGATATTAATTATAAAACGAATAAGAGAAACTGTAAGTAAAAATTCAAATTCCAATAAATTAAAAATAATGTGATTTTAAAACAAAACCTATTGATGTAAATAATTCATTCACGTTGGCTGCTGTCTTTGCTGACGTCTCGAAAAACAAGAGACCAGCATCATGGGCATAAGCTTGTGCGTCCTTTAAAAGGATGGAAACATCAAAAAACAATTAATGACATCAAAATAAATAATGGAATAAGGAATTCTCAATGAAAATAATATTTCATTGATGATGCATATAATTCTCAGCGACCTAATAATAATAATACCTTTCATACCTCTCTTTCAATTGCTCGACGTGAACTCAGATCAGTTTTGTTTCCGGCAAGTGCAATAACAATGTTAGGATCTGCTTGCCTTTGAAGCTCTTTTACCCATGATTTGGCTTTTTCAAGTGAAGACTTTGAAAATTAGAAATCGAGCGGGATCATCGTCAATAGAGAATAAAATAAATAATGAATTATAATATACGGTTGTTATCGTTCTTATATATGAGGGGTTACTTACAGCTTGAGTTATATCATATACTACTACAGCACAATTTGCATTTCGATAGTACATTGGTGCCAAGCTCTATATTCGTTTTTTAAAAAAAATAAATGATTAAGCGAAAATATTTTGAATGTAAAAGAAAATTCGACTCTCACCTTATAACGTTCTTGGCCGGCTGTATCCCTTTTTATATTATAAATCCTTAATAAATTAATTACTTCGAGGATGAACTCAGTAAAATATAAATAAATACCAGATTTCAAATTTTACTGTTGTATTATCATCTAGGTGGATAGTTTGAGTCAAGAAAGCGGCTAACAAGTAAAGAATATAGATTTTTGATTTATTTTCAAGATTTTCGGAATTATTACTATTGTAATTTGTGAATTAAGAGTCACCTCCAATAGTGCTCTCTCTGTAATCATCAAATTGATCTTTGACGAAACGCAATACTAGGCTAAAGAAAATATAAGGTTATGTCAAGAGACTTAGAATTAATAGACTTTTTTGAAACTACTGGGTAGCGCGAGCGATATGAAATAAGTTATAAAATATATGTCGCTCAAGATAAAAACGCAGTTGCTGCGTAGGAGAGTCGTCGTGATTATACGTCGTGCGTACTCGCTAACGAGAGACGTAAAGTGGAATTTCGAAATCTAAGAAACATGAACGAACCTAGATTTGCCAACTGCAGCCTCTCCTATGAAATTCAATTCAAAGAGCTGGTGAGAATAAATGCGAGATAAATGGGAAAAAACATCGACACATTTTTAAAGAATCAAGTTTTATCCGACTAATAAGTAAAACTTGTGGTCGAAAATCGATCTAATTAACGCCACCGCTTCCGAATTGAAAGGGAGTCCCTACCTAGTAAAACAAGCTTGAATTGATAGAGTTTTCCGGGTGCCTGAGGGTGTTGTCTATTACTGTTGGACATTGGTATATCTGGGTTGAAAAATAACGGTTAAATCAAAGATGGCTAAAAAAAGCAAAGGTGTTTGTTCTTGAAGATAGTGATAAGTAACAGAACAAGTAACAAATTAAGATACAAAGATATTCTCATGTGATTTTATAGTTTATTTTTTAATATTGCACAGCGCATTTCTTGTTGAACTTTCCCATGGTGAAGAAATGTATAAACACGTGATATTACGACATTCTATTTGTTCAATGGATATACAGTCGTCCCTCTCCCTATTATTTTTCTACATAACTATAATAACCTGTGGCGAATCTTACATAAATATGAGCTGTATCTTGAAGTAAAAATTTCTGTTAGTTTGAAATTAACAGTTAGTTCTTTTTATTAACGTTAACTCATCTTTTTTGTTAAGTACAGTGGGGGACCATCAACTTTTTACGTTTAATAGCTTTCCAAAAAGGTTATAACTCGGGCAGTAGTGGTGGTACGAAAAAAACCGCTGTAAATGATTATTTGGAAGTCAAGCTATAATTTACAGCAGCCGGACTTTAGTTATAAGCTTTTAAGATTTGTCTATGATCATGTGAAATTTTGCCGTGAATATTAATCAGTATAACTTGTGTAATTGTGATTAATATATCATCGTTTCTTCTTTTTTACGCAACTTTTTCCAAATTTTATACGTCGTTTCTTTTTTTATGTTATTTTTTGCGTAAATTAAGTTTGTGCCAAGATTATCAAAAAATAACAAAGCTCATCGCGCAAATTTGCAAATACAGTTCTCCACATCGTTCACAAATATATTATTATTCAATTAGAAATTCCAGCACAGATTGAAATAATTGATCTGTTCTCTTTTTCGGAAAGAGTTAGGGATTCACTAAAGCGGGATAGTATCATGTGACATGTGATTCGATCCGGATCGTATCATGTGATTTTAAAATCACGTGAAAATTCATGATTGGTCGAATTAAATCATGTGAATTATTTTAAGAATCTGATTGTTAGAATGTATTAATAAAAAGAAAAAAAGATAAATTATTTAATTAAGAGTCTGATTATTATTATTATTTAAAGAATATTTAATTGTTAGAAGTATTAGAAATATATATTAATAAAAAGATAGATTACTTAATCATCTAATTAATTACTTTATTAAATTATTTCTTAATTAAATACAAAATTATTTATATTACTATTTTAAAAATTGGATTCAATGATTTATTATTACACATTTTTCATTACAGTCAAACCTCTCTATAGTCACACTCATTTATAGTCACATTTCTTTATAATTACACTATTTTGCTTTCTCATTTACATATAAACATAGTAAAAAAAATCTCTCTATAGTCACAATCCCTCTATAGTTACCAAATTTTGCTTTTCCAAGAGTGGTGACTATAGAGAGGTTTGATTGTACTTGAATAATTAGCTAATAAACACAAACAAGTATTAGAAGAAATATAAGAATAATACAAAAATAATATCTGAAATTATTATAGTTCAAAAAAAGAAAAGAATAAAATAATAATGTTTTAATTAGATATTGTTATTATTTTGATTGACTTTCAAAATACTCAAAGGTATTTATAAATATTAAAGGAATATTCAAAGAAAATTTTCAATGTCTTAATGACAATTCAAAATATTAACAATACTTTATAACTATTAAACTGAATTTGAATAGGTACTAAAAGTACTAGTGATAAAATTACTTAAAGATTGGTAACAGTTATGTTTTTTTAATACAATAATCTGGATTGCTAAAAAGAGTTCTCAAAATCTTGAAGTCAAAGTTATAGAGATTATAATATTCATATTATTAGCAATATGAGATCAAAGGTGAATTAGCAATACAAAATCAAAGGTAAATTTATAAGCAATGTATTATCAGCAATATAACTCAAAGACAGATTTATAAATTATAATAATAAACTAAATTTCTCAGAAATAAAATACGAATATAATTTTAATTCCAAATTTATAATATAAATTATTAATAAATAATACTGTTATTCTGTTAATAATTGATACCAATCAAGTTTTTGCATCCATTAAAGAGTTCACATTAACAATAGGTTACTTCATTCATTAAAAATTTTGTTGATAATTCACTTTATTCCCTTGCAAAAAGGAATTTTTCACTGAAAAATTATAATAAAGTTCCTTTTAATTTTATGTACAAATTCTAACATGATCTTCATAATTTCCATCTGTATGTGACATTTTCTAAATTAATTTTTGAATGTCAGATCTATATTATATGAGTATATAGCTTAACATATTGATTATTAATCATTTTCTTTTCCTGTCATAAGAAACAAAAAGAGTTTTCTTGATTAAATCTCTTTAAAGCTCATTTTCTTTATATCATTAATTAACTAATACAGTTATTATTATTGTATGAGTTGTGTAAAGATTCTATTTATTCTATTTTTCACTTTGTTTGGTCATTTGAAAAACTTTACAGCTTACATTTTTCTTTAAAGAAGTTGTTATTTAATAAAGAGTGTTTTCAAATTTTGCTTTATTGATTTATTGATCACATTGTCACAATCAGGCTCCTGGTAGGTATTGTCGTGACATAGGTATTCAACCAACGTCTGATGATGGTATTTTTACAGTTACTCAATCTCATTGTAATTAGTATACTTCAGGATCACTATGCAGTGCGTTTTCTTCTATTTTATAGATAGGTTCTCACTATTACTAATAGATGTTATGTCTACTTAGTGTGTGACAGTCTTATAGCAATACAGTACTGATATTCTATAGCAACTTTGGTGGTTGTCCAATAGTGTGCAATAAATACAAGTATTTTAATAAGTTGTTATTTTTTAATCAATTAAGTGTACAAATTTCATTAGCAATAAACAAGGACAATTTATTGACTAGCTAGATTTTTGTATTGATCAATTGATACCTTTTTCAAAGCCTCAATATTGCTTTATTTATAATAA